GCACCATGACGCTCTGTCCAATGAATTCTGAAGCATTGGGCTGAATATGAGCAGATAATACAGCGGGTAAAATAAGGATTGAACACGTCACCACATTATTCCACATTATTACAAATAACTTCATTTCTGGACATTTATGGTTTGATTTCTTTGTATGTATGGATCACTTGGGTTGTTACCGACATCTGGTGAAAATTTCATGTCATTAACACCTCTAGTAATATATTTACTGAGAAAAATGTTGACGTGTTCAATACTTATTTTACCCGCTGTAACAATGTGCATATATACCTAGTACAGTAAATAAATGGATGTATTTGAAGGTGCATATTAGTGATGCCAGTGTAGGTGAACTGTCCAAGTGACTGATAACATCATGATGTGTTTTACAGTCTAACTGCAGTTGGAATGAATGATATATGAATGGTATAGAGGAGTGGGCCAGAAGTCTTTTGGAACTGATCATTGGTGCTAAAAGAAATTCTACAAAATAATATGTCTTTTAAAAAGGTTGTGGGGAACAGGTTTTTTTCTTAGTATTTTGGTGGGTTCATTTCAAAACACATGTCCCTGAGCAGTGAGCAAAGCAACAAGCTAATTCACAAGAATACAAGCAGCCACACGAAAGAGCTAAAAGTTGTACAAACAGGTGTCAGACTCACCTTGATCTTTTCCTCCATGCTGTCAGCGATTTCAGGCCACTTGTCAATAAAGTTCGTAGAATGTCAAACTTTTCCAGGAGCTGTGGGCTTCGTGCTAATAATAAGAAGCAAGAAACAACAGTTAGCACTGTTTGTGGTTAGCTAATATTAGCGAAAATATTAGTTAGCTAAAAGCCTACAACTGTTTATTTGTTTATTTATTTTTGGTAACTAATGATGATAATGCCTATTTCGTGTTAAAATAAAATAGTTAGGCTGGGTCTTTAAACTTCAAGCCTCACTTACTTTGTCAGAAACGCTTCGGTCCTGTTCAGCCGGAACACAACGAAAGTGACGGAAAAGATTTAAATTTAATGAGGATGCAGTACCGCCTCTGACCACACAGGTTATGTGACGTTCATTCAGGGTTACAGGCCGGAGGGGCGCTGTTTCATCTTTTTTACATGGAGGTACAGCGGGAACATAATAGGGTTATGCCCTTACTCCTCCACTGCATGGTGGTGCAACATACCACGTTTTTTAAACAAATATCTACTATGTAAAATACAATTTTAACATGACTGAAGGTGGGAACAATTATTTATTTTTTTTTATTTATTTTGTTCCTGCTCTCGGAGGAGTAAGACACTTTTTCCCTCTCTCCTGCCCTCCCTTATCTTCCCTGCTTTGCTGCTTGGAGCCTTCTC